TATATATATATTTTTTTTTTAAATACGTAATTATTTTATACCAGTCAATAAATAAATCTGTGTATTGATCAAGTAAAGATAAATTGAATTTTAGAATATACCTTATCCCAAATGTTAAAAGTTGCTGAAATCAAATTCGTTTATAAACGTACCTGACGCAGAGCTGCACGAATAGCGTGATGGCCCAAGTCACCTCAAGGAAGAAGATTACACCCGACGCCGCCCTGCAATCGAATACACACGAGAATTAACAGACAAGACTCTGGAGAGACCAAATATGACATAAAACTTCACATGCCGTTGGTGAAACGTATGGCCGGCTTGATCTACCCGGACAACTTTGCGTGTCTAAAAGATCGTCATAAAGTCATCCTCCCAAGAAACACATGAAAGTCAACGGAAGATCAAAATAACTTTATATTGATTCCAACATTTTCTGGCGAGAAATCGATGTCGGCGACACAGTCATCTCTTCGTTGCTACTGAACGGCAAAAAGATCACTTTGCACTAGTCTCGCAAGTTCAGCGAAAGTTTTCTGGAGGTGTGCAACGGCATCACTTCCCGAAAAATTTACTGTTAGTTTCATAAACATTTTTCGGATGGCCCCCGTCAAAAATCTTGTAATAACAAATCGTTATATTGACTTTTAACTATATGTCATCTTAACTGAAATAAAATGTATTCCTTGGGACATAACGACATCTTTGGGAGATGTCTGAAAGATATTTAAAAGACATCATAAAGAGGTCTTTTGGACAACGCGCGTTATTTAGGAATTAGGATATATCGGATGCGATTGAGCAGAGAGCAGCAAGTTTACGATCCCTACAAAAATGCACACCGTGTGTACAGCTGTTTCTCGTAATAGTAAATGAAAGTATAGATAAAAGAACAATTCGGAAAAGTATTTTATTCCAATGCTTATATATCAATCTGTATCGCGAGAACGTGATTCGACTTTGTCGCGACGGTTCTCGATGGTGTAAGGGCGACTTGTTCCCAAAAAATCGGGTTCTTTCTCTCGCATAGCAGCGCGTGATCAATGATTAAAAGCGCGCCGACGTAGAATCGCGTAAAAAATGTAAGACATCTCTCTCAATTTCCACTCTGCGAGATTCTCCGTGGCGCCGCGCGGTTGGATAATGCCTGAGAAAAATTGCAGCGGACTGGGATATTTTTATTTTTTCGCCCGTCTCGCTTTGTTGTTCATTGCATGCGCCTCGGTGAAACGTGGCTACGCGAGGGAATGTCTAATCAAACGCTATCGCTCTCTTGTGCATCGCAATTGCATCCAATATAATTTTTTTGCAGTTAAAACTTATATTTAAAAAAAATACTAAATAATCTTAATATACATTTCTTTAAATGGTACTAACTAAACGTTTACTTTCAGAAACTTACATCCGGAATCTAAAATTCAAGATAAAAAAATAACAGTCAAATCAAATTAACGGTTCTTATATCAAATAAAAATGTGTTTACATTTAAATATTTTTTTAACTTAATAGGTTTTTTTCAGTGCAACGTGTTGCAAACGTGTCGTTGTCAATAAATCAAAATGTGACTATTTAATTGAGCCGATTTTAGACGGTGCATGCTGTAAAGAATTGGGGACGAAATTTTTATTTATAATTCTATCGATCGTGCACTGTGCAAAATATTTTTCTTCTTAAAATTATTTTACTTTATATTGTGGAAACCATAAAACTGCGGAGTTGTGGCTGGAATATTCTGTAGTTCTAAAGTAAGTAGTATGAGAACCTTTAAAGTGCGAGCGAAGGAGAACGCTAAATCCTATTAAAAAAGTTGTAAGATAAAAAAGTTGATACTCTAATATATGTATGAGCCGATATATGTATCATTTGTGATCTGTCAGCTTTTCCATTTTCTCCATGGCCGAATAAATATTATATTGTATTTACGTCTTAAAGATAATCTTGCTTCGACATCGCACTTCCGTTACCAATAATCAAATCAGCCGCAAATTAGATCTCTCGGGGAACGAATCGAAAGTAGATTACCCGACGAGCGAAGATGATCGAAAAGATTTTCAAGCGTCGTTCATCGTGAGTCGTTAATTACGTGCTAGCGTCCAATGAAATGGATTTTATCCAGGAATCGTAGGTAAAGTATCGCGGTTAAAATTACGCAAAGCATAATAATCCACGAGTAATGAGGAGTAACGTTGCGTATAAATTAGACTCTCGTGTTCAGCCTCTCACATTCAGTTAAAACCAGAATATATTACTTTATTGTGTCCAAATCAATAATTTCCATATACCTGCGTAAATATTTTGTTGTTTACACAGCAAACAAAAAACTCGAGGAAATAACTCGCCCGTAATAAGTTTTGCGGTGGGATTCAAAAAGTTTCAATTATTCTCGTCACAGATTGTCTAAAGCTGCCGGATGTCCCTTCATACACAGACCTTCCGTGAAAACTTCCGCGAAAACGTCAGCAGTCGCGATTCAGTATTTTTCAACGTCGAACATAGTTCTGGGTCAGATAAACGATTGTTCTGTGCGGAAAGAAAGCATTCGTTAGCAGTAGACGCCTTTCGGACGAGTTTAACAATTTCGAAATACAGTCGCGTCGCGAGCAACAGTCGTCGAATAAATGACGACAAATCCGCCGTCTTCAGCAAAGCGGACAGATATTAATCGTTCCGGCGGGAAAACGGTGAATTAAGAGGAACAGACGGGAAAAATCTCTGCCCATAAAATCGGACGTTGCCCCGTTTAAATGAAAGAAGCCTCGGCTTCGAGGGTTCCAACGACGTATATAACTAGTACTAGACCAAGCATTTCACCTTTGGCGTAAAATAATAATAATATATTTTCAAATAACCACAGCCGTTGGAAAAAAAAAAGAGAAGTACACACAATATGGGTAATAATTTGCGGTGGGATTCAAAAGTTTCAATTATTCTCGTCGCGGATTGTCTAAAACTACCGAACTACCTGTCCCTCCTTCATTCAAGGACCTTCTGTGAAAACTTCACGAAATATCACTTCTGCCGCAATTGTGTCGCTTTTCGCTTTCTAAGGAAAGCCATACTGTTCCTTTACTTCAAAAATGATAACTTAAAAATGTGATGTTCAATTTTATTACCACGAATGAATGAAGTAAAGATTATTTTTTATCAAGCACATTAAAAGCAAACTTCTTTCTTAACTTCATAATTTATTCATCAAATAGCATTTATGTTATTCTTAAAGTTTTCAAAGAAAAACTTTCTGCAAAGGTAATATATTTTAAATCGTATCGGTTTTATAAATAAAAAGGAGATGAGTCTTTTATAGAAAACATTTAGAATTAAGAGAAGTGAGATCAAAGAAATTGTTGTTGAATTTTGAATTTTGTCATTTTAGCTGATCAAGATAAATATGAACTGTGATATTTTTATGATTTATCCCGGATTTGTTATAATTTTGTAGGATATCAAAATCATTCAATTCTGAAAAGATTGCTTCTTAAAAGTTAAGCGGAAATAAACAGAAATGACATTTGATCATATTTCTAAGAACATATTTTTACTGACGTTATTTGATTAGTCAATAATTTCTGTTTCAAAAATAGCTTTCCCCTTTTCTGAAAAATTTAATTTGTTAATACTGCAAATTAAATGCCTAATATATATATATATATATATATATATATATCCACAAATATTTGAATTATTTAAGCATTAAAGATCCAGTTTCGACCGTTACCGGTATTTCATTTCTAGTATTAATTGTGCTCTCAGATATGCGGTCTAAAAATAAAGATTCTTAATATTGTTTAATTTTTTAAGTTATTCTTAAAGTAACAATATAAATGCTTGGTCTAGAAATATGTACATATATGTCGTTAGGAAATTCAATCATCGCGGGATGATCTTGCTCGCCTCCTCCCGATTCACTTCTATCCCGCGGACTTCTATCCAACGGTCTCTCCTTTGCACGAATGTCGACGCGAGGATCGCTGCAGATCAGAGGGCTGATAATGCGTGAATTGAATTACGGTATACGCATGTTGAATTATCCTCACGTAACGTAAAGCCCCATGACGTGTCGATGGTACGCCACATCCGCGCCGACGCCGCACACAACTGCAACAGAAAGAGGATCAAAAAGATTTGCAATCCTGCCTGTCTGATGAATCCCCCATCTCGGCCCGTCACTACCGACATCCCAGGCATCGGCCCTCTCGATCGGTATATTATATTATATTTTTTGCGCCAGACGAGACCGCGTAATTTATAACCGGAACTGCAACACGCATGCAAATCGTGCAAGATTCCTGCACAATAAATGGCCAAATCTCACAAATATGACGACATTATTTTTGGATCAAAAATAGCAAAGTCGCGTTGCATTTCCTCCATCGCTTCAAATAGCTCCTAAATTAAGATAAGATTATCTAGTATTAAATAAAGTATCTTTAAAAAGCATAATGCGAATATACAACAAATAAAGGCCCTAAATGTTCAAGTTGGACCTTCAGTGCATAAATAATTCAACGTGAATTTATAGACTCGTATCAAACCCTAAAGATTGCGCGCCGAATTTAATTTCCAAATTTAAAACGCAATTTCTAACAAAACGAAAATAATATTATAATATCACAAATTAAATTGACAAACAATTTAATAATATAGGCATTTTAGAAAGATCTTAATAATCTAATCTTAAAATCTAAGGTTCTCTATATTTAATTCTCTATTTAGTTCTATAGCTTATCAAACTCCTGCCAATATTCTTTTCTCTCTTTCGTAACTTTGCGTCGTCCATTTGTCCTTTCCATGCTTCGAATTTTCCCTCGCTCGTGCATGCTGATGCATTAATTACAAACTGGATACTCGCTTGTGTATTCCAAACGCGTGGATGCACATGCATTTCGGGATTTTTCAATAATATGACGTTGCGATAACGAGGTAAAACGCTCGTAACTTCAAAATGGACAAAAGTGACCAAGAGATAATTCTAGAATATCCCCGATATATTTGATGTACATTACGCGCGTAATATTCCATTCAAACAGAGACAGAAAGAAAGAGAGAGAGAGAGAGAGAGAGAGAGAGAGAGAATCATTTTTCTAGAGAGAAAAAAATATCTTTTTTTATATATGCAACCTAAAAATATCAAAGATATAGACATATCCGAGAGAATACGAATCGCCCGTGGCAAAGACATCAAGAGATCCCACATTAATCTCCGCATCTCATGACAATATAAAATTATTCTATTGTATACGCCGGGGAGAGTGTACACGTTGTGCAAGTATCGCGTACACAATAGATCGGCTATATTGCAGCCTGACAGGAAATCAATACACAGCAGGTTCAACGTCGAATAGGATTTTTTTCTCACGGGGGAGCGACGGATCGACTTGAACTTCTACGGGAGAAGGAGACACGGGATAAAGCCGATCATCTCGAATTGATGTAATTGCCCGTCGGGATAAATCACGTGTTGTATGTGCCAGGAGAAATATATCGGATGATCGCTCGTAGGAGAAATTCATTCTTGTTATGATATATGAAACTAATTGCGAGACGTGCTACTTTGAAGTCATGATGACGAGAAAAGAAAATTAATTATCGATTCTATAAAAATCTATCTATAAAAAAAGCTGTCTTTTAAATTTAACGCCAACGAAAATGTGTCATAAATATAGCTAAGTAAAAAAAATTAATTATCCTTAAGAAATTGATTTCTTATTTTAACATAAATTTAATAGGAGTCAGTGATACGAATAGTCAAATAAAAATAAATTAAATATCGAGCTATCTCCAAGAAGGTTATTTCCTTACATATTTTAGCATAAATTTAATCGAAACCTGAGAAATAGTTAATAAAAGAATTCAATTACGGAGCTAATATAAACTCCGAGAAAGGTAATTTCTTATTTTGACATACACATTCAATCGAAGTCTGCGATGAGAGTAACTAAATAAAAAAAAAAATAATTATCCCTAACGAAACTGACTTCTTAATTCGATATCGATATTTATTATTAAGAGCGTGGTAAGAGACGCTAAATCACTCGATATTATCACTATTGAAGTCATCAACAATGATGACGAGCATATCTGTAAGTACTCTAATCTGTCTGAAAATTGTGCTCTCCATCAATCCACTGCTATGACAAGCCAACGAGAGGCGACTTGTCGCTCTCGATGCAATTTTTTTCCCAAAATCCAACTCTCGAGATCAGTGATGCGCAACCTTTCTAAAGGATCATTTGCAGAGAGCCATTTTTAGAAATAAGTAAAAATCTTTTGGGCTGCATAATACTTATTTCGTTTACCTATATAAAATAGAAAATATTTTATATTTTCGGCTGTAAAAACTGACAAGTTTATAGCCGAAAGAATTCACAGGTGGCGAGTCGCATCACTGCTTGAGATCATCAATTTCCCGCGCGATTAATTGCGCAAAAGGCTGAAATCGCGAAAAACCCATTAACTGAGTTGAAATTGAAAAGAATATATCCGTTTTTCGTACGCAAATTTCACCGCCGCATCCGACCGAACCACGTCTGTCTTCAAGCCTTCAAGCGCTGAATCTTCGGACATGAAACAGCTTCGAGACGGATTTGCAGCGATTCCTGAAGAAGGCGACAGAAAGATATCCGAGAGCAGTCCGTGAAAGGTTCTAATTGTGAAGCGGGCCCGATCAAAGGAACTTCTAAAATGAAATAACCAGCATACGAGGAAATAATTACGCGAGCCATTAGGGCAGCTTTGCAGCACGACATGGCGTGTTGCAAATGCAATTAACAATAACGATTTTAAGAAAGCCCTCGTCGAGTTTCAACTTTAATGGACAAGAGTTTTAGTAGTACAGAATCAATTTCAGTGATTCGATACGGGAAGAATTATCCAACCGGAGGAGATCTAACGTCTGCAATTAATTGGCTTTTACAGCCGTTGATTATCTTAACAAACTTATTGTCAACACTCCTCGCTTTTGTCTCCAGCTTTTTAATCGAAATGGACCGCTCGCACGATCCCTTCTTTCGCCCTTCGCTCTGAATCACTTTGGCTCAAAAGCTTTAAAGACGAAGTTTCGCAATTATCGCATGTTTCGGCCCGCAAACACAAACGATAAACGTACCACCTACACTTTTCCTGACTGCTCACAGGAAACTTAATACAACGAAGATGCGACAGAGTCCACACACGTGCGTCCTATGTGTGGGCGTGTTCGTAAGTCGTGTTCGTGGGTCCGGCGAATTTAAGGAAACACGAAAGCGATGTATTATTCAAAGGACGGAGTCGCGCAACTTTAATAAAAGGAAAATCCTTCCGGGCGCGACGCACAGCTGTGGGATACTCGGCTGTCGCCAGGACGGAAATATTTACAGAAAATTTTACGCTCCTTATCCGGCGTCGGTGTAAGTGTTCCTGTTTTACGTATTTATGAGCTAAAAAATCCATGAAGTAACTGAATTTTGCACGCGGAATGAGTGTGCGTTAATGATCTCCACTGCAACCCTCGCTGCAGGAGATGACGTGGAAAATGAGGGGAAATGGAACGCTCATTAAACATCAAAGGACATTGATCAATTAATTTAACATTTACTCGCCTTTCCACTTCCATTTCCTTTCTTCGCGCGGCTTTAATTTCCGTTTGGCTCGACTATTTGAATATAAAAATAGGTAAAACGTCGAAAATTCTGTGGAGTATACGTTTAAATTTCTGAATCTACGATGTACGGTCTTCAATGAACGGAAGCTCACAGGATTCCGGAATAGGAATCTCCGACCGTGTTCAGTGGCCAGGACATTGTCGGACGAAGGTTCTGTGACTGGCACATGAATTGACCACCTGCGGTCGCGTTGGTTCACGTCGCGAGTGAATTTCCGGAGTCGTATTGTCCCCCAAGATGTTCCACTGAGAATATCCATTATCCTTCTACCGACAAGAGAAGGGTAGCCAATCATTTTTCTCGAAAATCAAATCTCAGAGAGCGTAGGGATATCTTCTCATACGCGAGCGAGCGTTCTGTATTAGACGCATCATCATGCGTTGTCGCGTTGATTAAATTAATTGGGCAATCGGCACACCGAGAAAAAAAAAAAGAATTTCAGCCATCAAACATGTTATATTTACATATTCTCTAAGAAAGGAAAATATATGAGGGCAATTAACAATTAAAATTTGTGTTAGACGAGAATAAATTAATTAAGAGAAACGCACACTATTTTCGGCGAAAGCGGATCTTTCTCCGTGTTGAAATATTTCGGAGTAAAATTTCGTAAGAAAGTTAGTTACACAATAGCGACAAAATGCCGATGAAACCAGGGGGTATCGTTCGAAATAAGGAGATAGAAGGGCAAAAGTCTCTCTAAGGACGAATAGCGATCCGTTAGATAGCTTCCTTCCTTAATTTCTTTCTCTGTCGCGAAAACGAAGACAGATTGACGCGATTGGATTCCTATTTCGCGATCGCACTATTTCGGATCTCTCCTGCATTTCTCTTCTTATCCTCTTTTTACTTCATGCGGTAAGTATGCCCTTTGTTCTGCCCTTATTCTAAGTTCCGCGGAATGAGTTCGTATGGTTGGCAAACGGAGAAATTCAAAATTCCTGGTGTCGGGTTCAATTAGAGGTTCACGATGCCTTCCGGTGATTCGTCTTGGTAATGCAATTAGTTCGCGGACACCACTCGTGTCGTCAAGGGTGTCCCACCAGAATAGGGCGAAAGCACGCGATAATTAAGACGCCAGACGGGCCACTCTCGAATATAATTAGGCATCAGCTGGCTTTGCAAGAGCATGCCGCTCTTTATCGACCGATATTGCATCGTGTGAAAATGACAGTCGCTTTCTCTGCGTAGTGGATGAACACCTTTTGAATTGATAGGCAAACCAACCATGGTAAAGAGATTTGTTAAAACAATTAGAAACTACAGCTACTATAATATATGGACTAGCTGATTTTCTATGTTAAAGTAGCAAAGTGGTACAGCTAAATAAAATTAGTGATTATATAATCATATTTAATAGCGCAGCAAATGGGTTAATACAGCTGAGATAACTTTCTATGAAAATCAATTCGGTATATAGAAAATTTTTAAGAAAGCACACTGGCTGAGATGTAC